GACGATGTTGCCCACTTGCGGTCTGAGCTAGTCTCGATGATCGACAAGGGGAAAGACATCATCTTAGTGCTACATTCATACGGTGGAGTTGTCGGGTCCGGGGCGGTCGAAGGGTTGGGCAAGGCAGAACGCGCGCAACAGGGGAAACAGGGTGGGGTTGTCATGGTCGTGTACATGAGTGCATTTGCCATACCAAAGGGGAAGAGTCTCCTGGATATGCTTGGAGGCCGGTTCTTGCCGTTCATGAAGGCAGAGGTGAGTTCAATGACATCGCGAATTTGCGACTTTCACCTTACATGATTCAGGGTGATTACGTGCATTGCCTTGAAGGGCCTGAATACGGTTTCCACGACATCCCACCTGTCGACCAGGAACTGTGGACATCCCGGTTGACACATACTTCTATTGCTGTATTCTCCGGTGCCTCGACCTTTGAGCCTTGGCATGTCATGCCGACCGCCTATATCATCTGCGAGGAAGATCGGGCACTTCCGCCACATGTGCAGAAGCAGATGGCAGAAATGCTAAACACGAAGTGGATCTATAGATTGATAAGCTCCCATTCGCCGTACCTGAGCATGCCGGACAAGGTGGCGGATATTCTGGAGGAACTCGCGGGCAAGACTTTGACTAGTGGTGCGGGAATCTCCGCCAATTTGTGAACTGCATAATTCTATAATACCTCTTTCCCAACATTATATATAGGACGTAAGATCTGCCTGTCTCAGATTTCAATCACAGAGCCACCATCCTAGACATATAGAGGACACCAGACACATGAGTCATTTGCCTGCACAATGCCTCATCAGCCTCATCAGCACTACCCATGAACAACTCAGCCTCCGTGGGGCGCCAAGGCAAGGCTGCAGCAATACCCGGAAAAAATATAAATATAGAAAGATCCTCCAAAGTAATATCCAAGACTATTATCTGTCTGGAACCACATCATCTATAATCATGATGCCGCCTACAGCATCTCCTCATCCCAATATTCATCTCCTCTGCATGGACGAAAAATACATCCGTGCCTTCGAATCTGTCTTATCGACAACCACCACATCTCCCAAATTTCCTAAGATCACCTTCCACAATTGTTCTCTCTCTTATATTTCCCCGAACATTCAGTTCGATGTCATCGTCTCTCCAGCCAACTCTTACGGCCGGCTAGACGGTGGCTTCGACGACGCCATCTCACGTGCCTTCTCCCCAACGACAGACTACCTCGCCTTGACCCGCCACACGCAAGGGATCCTCTATCGCGATTATCGGGGCTACCTGCCTCCGGGATCATGTACGCTCATCCCTATCCCGGAGGAGTTGAACCATCGATCGAAGAATGTCTGGGGAACAAGGTACTTGGCGCTCTGTCCGACCATGAGAGTGCCGCAGAATGTGCGCTGGGATCGGGAGATTGTGTATGAGTGTATCTGGAGCTTGTTGTGCGCTATTGACAGACATAACTGGGATATTGAGAGGACAGCAGACGGGGCAACGAGGATTGATAGTCTCTTGATGACCCCGTTTGCGACGGGGTGTGGGCTTGTCTCGCCTGAGAAGTGGGCCAGACAGATGATCCTGGCGCTCAATCATTATGTCGATGCGGTGCAAAATCCGGAGAAGTGGTCCAGTCTGGATCTGGGTCAGGCTATGGTGTATTCGAGTGAGGTGGCGAGGACTTGGGAGTTATAGTTGGATGTTGGAGGGTGTATATCTGACACCTGAGAAGGCAATGGGTGATGAAGAAATAGGAAGATGCATTGCGTGCGGAAATAATATATACGCACTTGATTGATGGCGTGTAACTGCAAACAAAATTTGATAAGAGAAAAATAAATAAGAACATGATGAAACAGACGGATTGTGTGTTTGGAGATGAGGTGCTCACATTTCGTTGATGCTGTATAGCTCGAGACAAGGTTTGGAATGAGGAAGCCGAACAGAGAACTACTTCGAAACGGACGACGATTTGTGTGTGGAGAGGAGGTGTTTAACATTTGCCATTCATCGGAGACGTATACTCGAAGGTTCTCATCGGCAAGACAAAGAGGCGGACAATGAGATCTGAAATATATGAAGAGCGACTCATCAGTTTGTGTGGACAAGGCATTCGCTCTATCAGTGGAGTATATAAAAAAGTATAGACACAGGAGAGATTACTAAGAGAATGATGAAGATGCACTGGGCCTTTAGGAATCAGATGTTCAGCCTTCGTCAGAGGTGTATAAAGACATATCTGCTCAAATCAGCGGTCGATACCCTCTATCAGCGCGCCTTTTCTGGCGGTCCTGCTTTATGGGAATTGCCATGACACCATAAAGGAGGTAACTTGGCATACTCTGAATACGAGGCATACTCTGAATACGAGAATGTCTGGCAATGTCTTGGAAGCAACACATCATACAAAATTAGCTAGATTCAACTCACTCAAAGCATGAATAATGGCCTACTCTGAGGTCCAAATGGGGCCTTGTTACCGGCAGGTTCCTTTATCTATGCATGATCGACATGACCACCCTGATACAGATTTTGCAGACTCAGAGTTCAACAACACGGGGAGAATTCGACCTATAGAATCTCTGAGAGCGAGCATATGCTTCTACACGGAAGCCAACCACAAATGGCCGGTGTCTCTTGGATACTGCCGATTATATCTGTCTCAGAATTCCAGCTACCATTGTCCTGGGTCCCTCAGAACTCAGTAAGGGTTAAGCCACGGATACCTCCATTAACCACCCCACAAATAATAGTTAACCGCAGTCCACTTACTTCATGCAACGACAAAGCTATCCCACCCCCTCTACCATCATCACACTTGGCAGCTCTCCAACTCCCAACCCCAGACGCAACAGCGCAATTCCCCTTTCACATCTATACCTCCATCACGGCCACACCCAGAACAATGTCCTCATACCCAAGCAATCCCAGTCGTCATTCAGTACCTTGTATACCCCCCTTCACAGCAACGATAACCTTACTCAAAGTACCCCTGTCCATATATATACCACTATGAATTTAATCCTCCCGGTAACACAAGCATCGAACGTTGCCATCACCAGTCCAGGAGCCACCACCACCACCACCACCGTCGCCAACTATGCCTTGCACGCCTCGCCCCTTCAAGGCCCCCGTGCCCAACGCCAGCCCGGCTCTGGAAGCTGTGGCCGAGAAGCTTCGTGCCAGCGGCAGCAGAAGACTCCTCACGGCAGAAGGCATCAGATCACTCTCCACCTCGACGAAGAACCTCATCGACAATCTATATACCAACGTCCGCAAGAACTGCTGGGCAGACGCCATCTGCGAAACCCCAGCAAGCATCCGCTCCGGTCGAATGGACCCCACTGGTAGATGGCACCTTCGTAACCCTCACGTCTCCGCCTACACCGACGACCTCTCCCACGCCATCCAACTCGGCGACATCGACGAAGTCGACTACCACCTGTCGTCCCGCAGGATGCCCCTCAACACCTGCGACCGCGAGGGCAACTCCCTCCTCCACCTAGCCCTAACCACCGGCCACTTGGGCATCGCCGATCTCCTCCTCGAGAGTGGCGCCAGCCCCCAGTATAGCTTCGACCCGGAAGTCCCTGAGCTCGACCAACTCTTCCAGTGTCCCGACCGCGTTGCCCCCCAGCTCAGCTCCATCCGCGTCGACATCCTCCGTCTGCTGCTCAGATACGGCGCCCAAATCTGCCGATTCCCCACCCTCAACGTCCTCTTCGACTCCCCCGGGAACGCCCCAGAGCTCCTTCAGCTCCTCATCAAGAACCATCCGGATGTGCTCCACGAACGCTCAAAATCAGGCCACACCATCCTCCACTCGGCCGCCGCGTTCGGCACTCCCGAGGTATGCGACTTGCTGCTCGCTCGTGCTCCGCACCTCCGCACCACATACACGGACTGGGACGTGACGCCCCTGCACATGGCAATCCTGGAGAGAAATGAGCCAACAGCCTGTTTCCTGATCTCAGCCGATATGAGCCTGCAGACGCGCCACGGATACGACCGCACCGAACTGTTCCTAGCAGCATGTATGGGCCTGCGTCGCGTCGTCAAATTACTACTATCTACTACGGCGTTCTTCGCGTATCCGCCGCAGAAGTGGGTTTCGGATGCGAAGGCCGCTGTCCGCGTCGCTTTGTACATGGGCAATACCGAGATTGTGGATATGATTAGACGAAATTTAGGATTGTACGTTGTTACCCTTCAACTAGCCCCCCTTCATGAAAGTATAAATAATATTGACTGATATATTGTCTACGTGTGTAGATCATGGCGCTCATGCTTATCCCCGTTTCTTATATGTCCCCGGCCTACTCTGACCCCGAGTATTATTAACATTCGGGGGATTGAGACTAGGAGGTCGAGGAGTAGACGCGCTAGGAGTGTCAGGGATCATGCTCATACTCATCGTCCACAGCGGTCTGGTGAGGTTGGGTGGCAGAATGTGAATGGGAGTGGGAATGTCTCAGCTCCTGCTCATTCCCTCGCTACTGTAGCCAATTCGGGGACTGGTAATCCTCTGGACGGTCGCGAGAGCGTGAGCGATACTATGAGTTTGGATGCCCAGGTTGATCATTTTTTGAACAGTGTAGGTGGGAGTGGACAGGGTATGCTTGGGGTTATGGATACGGTGGTGGAGAGTATTGAGGAGTTGTGAGTATGGCGGTGGGTGGTGGTGGTGGTGGATGCATGGTTCGTCCGGGTCTGGTATGTGAAGAGGGTGGTTTTGAGTCGTTCGTTTGAGATATCTAAAAGTATTGTTTCTTCTGTATTTGGAACGGGATATTGCATGGTATTATAAGCTGTTTGATGGGGCGTTTCCCTACTACAGACAGCATGGTTCAATGTTACATTTCGGTAGATACTATCCAGAACAGGCTCAATCATGACGAAAAAGTTCTATATTCATATCCAATTCAGAGCAGAGTAATACCTCCCTATGTAATTACCTCCCAAAAAATATCATATCATATCCATCAACCCTCTCACATTTGTACAGATTATACATCCTTCTCCACGACCCCCTTCTCAACAACCACCTGCTGATGAGCCGCCACCGGCTCATCCGCACCCCCAAGTCCCGCCCCGGTCAGATAAAAGTCCTGCGGGTCCGTATCCTGGGCCGTCTGCTCCCACGCCAACCCCTGCTTCTTAATCAATTTCTGGTTCTCCGTGGGCCAGAACGTGCAGATGATGTAGTACATCACGAAGGCGGTCGTGAAGGATAAGATCCACCCGAGATCGCCCATGCGGGTCGCGGTGGTGGAGACGCTGGCGCCGAGGGAGCCGACGAAACCTATACAAGTGTTTATTAATATCTGGGGCGTTATGGGAGATGAAGGAATAGACGTACCAGGGAATGGCAGCGCAATTGCGATAATGTACGCGATAACGGCTTGGATGTTCCACCCGCCGTAGTATCGGTAGTTTTTGTTGAGTTTCGTGCCGTCATACAGGGATGAGAGGAAGATGTTGCCTTTGGCGAAGCAGAAGTCTATAATTCGTGAGTATATTTTGATCATTTCAAGGAGTAGGTGGAGGTAAGGACATACACTCGCACACCATGATGGCCACAACGGCACCCATGAACAACGCATATCCGGACAAAAAGTCCTCGAACTTCGTCGCCGACGTGAGAATCTCCCATGGCACGACGGCCCACGCGAGCGTCTGCACGATGTACTGACCGCGACGCATGTTGATGAATCGCGGGAACAGCATGGAGGAATCCGCACCGAAGGAGATCATGTTGGCCGCGATGTTGGTTCCGAGGATCTGTACCAGCCAGGCGAAGGCCACAAGGAACACGGCGAATCGGGTCGTGCCGGACCAGTAGTGGTCCAGGATAAACTCCATCATGTCCCATTGGTTCCTACATAATCAGCAAGGATCGAAAATATTAGGTATTTGGCAGAATGGCGTACCAGATATCGGTGCCGTATTTGTTGTTGATGGCGGCTGTTGCCAGAATACCCAGACTCGCCGAGAGCGTCACCGCGATCGGGTTCGAGAGCAACTGGGTCCAGAGCGGGGCATTGCGAGTTTTAGTCCAGCGGCAGTAGTCGGGTTGGTTGGTGATCAACGTGGCCGTGTTACTGGTCTTATTAGTCTTCTGTTGGTGTGCCAAGGATTCCGAGAGGAGTATCTTACCCCAAGCCACTGTTGATTCCCGCAATAATCATCCAGGCGGTTGCTGTCGTGGATCGTGCCTCGGCCGTGTACATCGTCCCCAGCTGACCCTTAGTGTTGGCCATGGCGAAGATGAACAATCCGAACATGGCGGGCAGGGAAATGAAGGTCTTGAAGATGAAGAACTTGCGCAGCTGGTAGGGACGGAAATGGCAGAAGGGCAGATGCACCAGCCAGCAGAGGAAGAAGGCCAGCATCTTCTGCGTGGTGATACCTGCACTGGATGGGATGTGGTTGGGGATGTCGGTATAGTGGTGACCGAAAATCGCCCGCAGGATGTTGTACATATATTCGGCGCCAAAGTCCACTGCAAGGGTCAGAATGAGGCGTTCATCATTGGAAGCGATCCGTGACAAGCGACTGTCACATACTCTGAATGGCAAACCACACGATGGCCAGCACCGCTCGTGCACCGACAAAGTAGTAGCTCCCCCACATGCCAAACACGCTGCGCCCGACGCAGGGAAATCCAAGATGATATACACTGGCGGCGCGCGAGTTGAATGCCATGGCGACGGACGAGATGAGCTGGGAGACGAAGATGACGACAATCGACTGCCACCAGTTAAGACCGATGCCGATCATGGTCTACAGAATCAGTATACCATCGAAATAAAAACCTTGCAGAAAGGGCCAAAAGCATACCGATCCCAAGGTCCAGTTGGTAAAAGAGATGGACCAGTAGAACGAGACATAGTTCCACCAGCGCCAGGCTGCATCATTAGCACTGGCATGAGCAGACACTGGGTCAAGTTCAAGACTTACTGCACTGCTCCGGAGGAGTGGGAAGCAGATCTGCAGAGAAGGTAAGTTCCAAGTCGCGTGCCGCGCGCAGCAGCTTTCATAGCTACTTGAATAGGGTTTGCCGACCTTCGTTGGACCAGCGCGAGTCCTGGCTGGATTCCAGCTCGAGGGCGGAGACCACCCGACTGCCAAACCTGGCCATGATGTTGAAACTATGGACCAGTAGGAAAGACAGAGGACGCAGTGTATCGACCCCGGCCACCTAAAGATTGAAAAGAGGTCGCATGGTGCACGGCAGCTGCAGGATTTTATTCCGCGGGGGGCGTGGCGCCTGAGCACGCGGCGGGCAAAGATTTGCACCCACACTTTAACTGTGAAGTGATAAGAACAGCAACCAGTGGGGAATGCCTAGAGATAGTGGTGGAGAATTCTTATTTTTAACTACCTTATTGGTTATATGCCTCCCCTCCTTCACGCCGCTGGTGATAAGCTCTGAGATGGCTGGAACCGACTTTTGCTGGAAAGAGTATAGCAAGGGAGGGTAAGGTTGTAACCCTATTTGTCTCGAGGGTTTATCTTAGTCACCCTCGTCCAATCACGGCATCTCCATGCTCCGACGCTATCCCTAAAGGAGATGTCAGCCCCGTTCACGAGGCTGTTCGGGTCATCGTTGTTGCGAAATTTTCTCTTTCTTTCCCTTCTTTGCCCTTCTTTTCCTTTTCAACGAGGATCTCCCGGTCGTGGGTCTACAGTTTAATATTCCAGTGGGGACGGAGCAGTTGGGCTGGTTCCTCGGTGAATGGCCGAAGCAAAAACGGCCATACCTGGATGAGAACATGCCATGCTGCAGGCTACTAAAAGTAGTGGCATGATGGGGTCGGTGATAGGCTCGGCTGACGTTGAGATAAATACTATCTGGAGTGACACCTACCGCTTCAAGATACTAGCAGCAGCTAGCAATGAACGGCGTTGAGCATGGAAGCTCTCGAAGCCTTGCTGGAACACCAGGTTTTTTTGGAACACTGGCCAATGTGGATGGGTGGATTGGTTGGTTCCTCGTCCACCAATCACTGTGCCTATAAAGGCTGTCGGTCAAATATACCGGACCAGACCAAAGCAGCAATGCAATGAATGGCTGGAGCCTAGAGCGGACGACGGAGGATTCATTCCCGATGGCAGGCGGGATAACCGCCGACTATCGCCAGTTTGCACACAGACAGTTATCGTATCAGCCGCGATATCAACACAACGGTCAACACTACAACCAGTATAGTTGTTACTGTCAATCAGATGCTGTTGGGTTCAAAATACTGCTGCTCATTGCATCTCTTTCGGCGTGATGCTCCCTATCTAGTAATAACTGCCGACTGTAAAGGCAGACAGTCACTGACTGGCATAGCCAACAGTGGCGACGCTACTCTGCTGCAACGTTACAGCATCAGCAGTGAAGTTACTCGCTTAGGAGGGCGCTCAGGCACTTGTACGCGCTGTGACTGAGGCGTGACCTCATGCCAAGCACGGTCAAACTTTGTTTCCCCATAGACTGTCAGTCAATACATGTGGACCTTCAGTCTGTTGCATTGCTTTGTCCAAGGGATTATTGTATCGAAGAAGGTTTGATCGGAGAATAGTTAAGATCAAGAAATCAAAGAGTGCATTGAATGAATGGTTGTCTGGATCAAAGAATTTTCCGGTGCCCGCCACTAGTTCATTTTCGGGTTCGCTCAGGGCACGCCGCCAGGAACCCTTCCGGACCCCTTCCAAGAACTTAGGTATCCGGTCGGGAATGCCTTCAACTCTCCCAGAGATGAACCCAGCTGATCAGGGAGTCTCTGGCCCTGTTGCACCAGTCTCAGAACGTATACAGATGGAGTCACCCACCATCCTGCTGCCTAATGTCTCTTGGACCTCCTAAATTGATACGTCCATCACCTCGGGTGGCCGATAATTATGTAGTACACATTTCTTTGTGTGCCTCCGTAGTCAAATACCGATCAACAGGCTCCCCGAAACGAGGCGGCACTAGCCATGGGGGTGGTGATAGATCCTGTTCCATCGCCGGGTCTAGATGGCGGCAACCCGGTGTGTACCTGGTGGTCACTCCCGGTACCTCTACTTCCGACCCCATCATCATGTCGCTGCATTGCTTTCTTGACTAGATAATCCCCAGATTTACACCTCACGAGATCATCTGCATATCTCGGAGATATCATCTCAAGCAGATCAATTTTGAACCTGCGTCTTTGGGTAGGTGAGCAGCGCGTAAACTCCGATGATTCCCTCAAGGCAGGACAGACAGTACCTGCAAGAACCAGCGTTAGCCCACCAGCTGACAGTGGCGGTCCCTCTCTGCTCCTGGACCAACTGCTCATTTCATATAAGCTCAAGGACCCCAAATGCAGGCATAGTTCATGACGCAACGACGGATCCGCCAACCACAGGAAGCGATTCACGCTCGCGTATGGCCCAAATGTTGGGTCGGTTTGGAATCCTGCAGCGAGGTGTGGAAATTGGACGGGGCCATCCGCGACGCGGTGGGGAACATTCCCAGCGGTATGCCCAGTGATGGTAGAAACAGAAGGGACAAGTAGGACACTTCATTTCCAAGGTAGTTATTCACCGTTGACCTGTCTATCACATCAAAGTATACGGCATAGTTAGTAGCACAATTGTACTAGAAACATGATATATCACTAGCAAACGGCCGTTCTGAAACCATCTGCTACCCGCAACCCCGAGCGTTCTTTTAGTCCGAGCGGATCGTGTAATTTCCAGCGACGCCCCCGTCATTCCCCAGATCGCCCAATCACCACCACGAATGCCACTTAATGGCCAAACTGCCTATACCCTGCAATCTCCACCCGATCCAGCATCTCACCGGTTCGTGCTCGAATCGGATCGCCGCCTGGTGTTTCACCTAAAATGTCCGATGGGGGGCGCCATCATTTCCAGCGCCAAAAACCTGTCATCTCATCTTTCATTCATTGTCCCTCATTCATTCCGTTCGGGGGCCAGTATATAACCCTTCAGGGCCCCATCCAGCTGGTCTTGGATGGTTTGGTGTTGACTCCCAGCTTCTGGAAAGCCTGTCGCCTCGTCTTTCGTTTCCCAACTTTTCGTCATTCCTTTATTGATTCTCAAGACTTTACCGCCATGTTCGGATCTACTTCTCGCCTCATCCTGGGGATGCTCAGCTGTGTGGCCCTCCTGCCCAGTCAGGCTTTGGCAGCACACCAGCACGTTGGTCACCGTCACCATCATCCCATCAATCCCACCCAGCAACCCCAGCCCAGCACCCTCATCACTATCGCTCAGGGCACCGCTCCTACTGAAGCCCCTTCCGCATGCTACTGGGCCCCATCTGCAGTATCCTCAGTAATTGCCTCCGCCTCCGCCTCTGCCGCCGCGGTAGTCGAGAGCAACATCACCGCAAAGGTCATCATCCCATTCTACGTCTATCCCGAAGCTGGCGCCTGGACCCCCATGGAAGAACTGTACGTTGTAATATCATGACTATAACATACCCACTTACTAACCTCCCCAGCGTCGCGGCTTTCCCCAACGTCCACTTCACCATTATCATCAACCCCGACAGCGGTCCCGGCTCCAGCAGTCTCCCTGACAGCAACTTCCTGACCGCCGTTCCCAGGCTCACCAGCTACAGCAACGTGCTCGCCATCGGCTACGTCCCGACAGAAAAGGGCACCCGCTCCATTTCGGATGTCGAGAGCGACATCAAGACTTACGCCGGCTGGCCCTCTGCATCCGGTAATTCTTCTTTTGCCGTGCACGGCATCTTCCTCGATGAAGCCCCCAACGCCTATAGCGAGGAGCTGGTCTCATACTACCAGCAACTCGCCAATCTCATCAAAGAGAGTTCCGGCCTAGGACCGGAGAACTTTGTATGTCCCCCTGCACCTACCCCATTCGTACACCACCTTGCATCCGCGGTAACTGATAAATGATATGTATAGGTCGTGACCAACCCCGGCACAGTCCCTGACTCGGCCTACCTCACCATTCCCGACTCCACCGTTGTCTTCGAGTCGCCCTACGACTCGTTCCTAGACGCCGTGTCGGAAGACTCATTCTCTGCCATCAGGGGCGGCAATCACAGTGCCCTGGCTACGATGGTCTACTCCGTTCCGGATACCGTGCATCTCCCGACGCTGATTAGCCAGGTCGGGAACATCTCCGACCAGATCTTCCTGGGAAATACGAGTTCGTATACCGTGTATAACTCGTACATGAACCAGGTCATTCCGTTGTTGTTGCCTGTTTCTTCTTGATATGGTTGGTGGCTGGCTGTCGCAGGGCGATGGGTTAGATAGATGATGATGTGTTTCAATTCTTGTCTCTCGTTTATTTCACCTTTTGTGTATATAGATTTGTATGTTGTGGAACAATATGCATTTTTTTTTCTCCCAGGGGTGTTTGTCATATGTTGGTAGGTAACATATTAGGCTGTGGTTGAAGATACAGTCAGTGTAGGTAGGCCGCGGCGCCACCGCGGGAATTTCAGCTGGGCTGAGACAGTTTCATCCCTATCCTACTGTAGGGATGAAACATGACAACAACCAGCAAAGGAAAGGCATTTGATACATATTTGATTCATTCCCATAAATTCATGTACATATAATATATACATCAGTATAGTAATCCATCGCCTAACTCCCACCATGAACTTAGTATCTAACCTAGTACTAAATAGTCAGCCCTCACTCCAACCCAAACGATATGTCAGAAAGGCGCAACATACAACAGATGTAGGCAGTAACAAATCAGATAATATCACCAACAGCGGCATCTACATCCGCACCAACGCTGGCAGCTGCATCTGCAGCGCCCGAGACCACCGCGCCGACATCAATGTCGATGGGATTGGCGGTGGCGAAGACGGCCAGGAGGGAGAGGGCGGAGAGGAGGATGAACTTCATTTTGGTGTCTGTGAGAGCAGTCAGCATGTTTGCTAAGTATAATCCCATTGGTGAGGTACATACCTTAGTGGTAGGTAGAGTGGTATAGGGTCGTTTGGATAAGTCTTGTAGGTGTGAGAGGTAGAGAGGTAGTAGATGAGAGTGATGGTAGATAGATCTGAAGACCATGAAGGTCAATTTATATTTTTCTCTACAACAATATTATCCCATATCCTCTGCAATGCTCAACAGTCAGAAGAAAGTCTAGAACCATGTCCTTGATGGATGCTCTACATACATGGTTATGACCCAGTCGATCGGAGATAACCATTTTTGGGGAGTTGCGGGGACCCAATTTTGGGTTTCTCGGGTGGCCGGGAGGCGACCGTTGAGATAGCCGTTGATCGATCTGGCGGTTGCTTCAGATATATCGAAACGGGGTGTTTTACTACTTACTAGTGGTAGTCTACTATTCTATCTAGTATTCTGATATATTAAAGATGTGATGTTATCTAAGATGGTGCTAAGGCCAAAGTAATTAGGCCAAATTGGGATAGAATGTGACGAAGAAGAGCTCGCCTGCTTCTTCGATACCGGGTGTCTGCATATTTTAGGTCCAAAGTCCTATCCCTTAAAGGCTGCAGTATTATATTCTACACTTAGACTTAATTCGGATATGGATGGCACATCGGCTGCCTTTCCCACCTAAATTCAAGATAGCCATCGGATATGCCACGGCTACATCTACGTCCCTATATCTGAACCACGGTTCCGTCCGGGTCAGGGGAACTTGACTACGTTCTAGGCGTTTACGTGATCGACTACATTTTCGACCTGCCATTAAACCAAGGTACTGGCTAATCGTATTTTTATGACAGATGCTATGATTGGTTGAGAGGTACTCTGGTCTAGATGCATTCTGTCAATGGATGGTTCAGGACACGTACGACGCTGGAGGAACCAGACTTCATCTCAGTTTTGATAGCAGAATACCGATCGGAAATCTCACAGTTCAATTCAACTCGCTCATATCAAGGCATATCGCTCAAATAACGTTCTCAGTCTGTAGATCCGCTGATCATATCCTGGCTAGCTTGCGGAGCACACTTCCGACCGGCTTGGATGGCGTTAATGTTCATGGAGACAATGCAATCATGGCTAACGGTATCTCCCATCATCCTGGACATAGGTCTACTGGCTTATATCGGGGATGCTGGCTTCATGTTCTAACACAGCCGGGTGCTTCACACCTCCAACTCGCAACTTTGCCCAATCTCTCTCCACGCCCTCCTCGATGTCCGGGTACGGGCCTAGCGGTGTGATCGCCTTAGGGTTTATGTGCCAGTGGCTCTTCGTATACTATTGCAGTTAGCACATACTCTCTGGACGTGTGTAGATCACTCACATTCTCCTTGATGTGTTTGAAGTCCGTAGTCTCCCTCGCAGCCTTCACATCCCAATACATCCCCTTGAGCCAGTTATGCAGTACCGGATAATCATGACGGATGGTCCCCAAATTACACTTGAAGTGCTCCACATACACCACGTCGAATCGAATCAATGTCGCATACAGCATCACATCCAATTCCGTCATCTCCTTCCCTAGCACGAACGGGCCCCCATTCTGCGCGACAATGCGCTCGAGCTTGTTCAGTGCCCCGAATACCCGAACCACGTTACGGTCATATTCCTCCTGCGTGTCTGTGAATCCGGCCTTGTACACTCCCGAGTTCACGTCCGATTGCATCCACGGACTGATAGCGTCGATCTTTGCTTGCAGATGGCTAGGGTAGAGGTCTATTTCCGCCAGCGATGACGGGATCTGGGATTTGAATGCTTTGGGGAGCCAGCGGAGCATTTGTAGACTTTCCTAGATTCAGTACATCCGTCAGTCATTGTAACGACTCTCCATCATAACACAAAGATAGGTAGCATACATTACAAACCGCCGTCCCCGTCTTCGTATCCCATAAGAGCGGCACCGAATACCGTCCTTTATATTCGGGATCCGCCCGAAAGTATACCTTGTGCAAGTAATCCTCCCCGTATAGATGATCCACCGTTGATCCGGGGTACTCGTCGTCCGATTCAGGGAACTTCCATCCCGGCCAGCCCTTGAGATCTCCCTTTGGGTACGCTCGCACAACGCTAGTTTTGATAATGTCAGTGAGGCCCTTGAGGTGTCGAACAAAGTTGACGCGGTGAGCAAATGGGCAGAAGTGTCCGATGTACAGGTGGTAGCGGTCGGGTTCGGCGGGGAAGTCGGTGCTTGGGATGATGCCGTGCCAGCTGTCGGCGGTTCCCGCTTGGTGGATGGTCATTGTGGTGGTGATGTTGATATTGGGAGGTATTGATGGTACTTTGGAGATTCAGTGGGAGGGAAGGGTGAAGAGGAGAGTATTAGGGATGCTGCAGGGACAGTTGGCAATGCCATCATCTGAGGGCTCAACTATGCGGGGTCCGGAGCAATTCCGCACTGGCGTCATGCTGGATTCGTCATCGTTCTTGAAGTAACTAACTAACTAGTTAGTTATGCAACTATGCAACTATGCAGCCATGTAACTAATGCTGTGCCAAGACTGGCCACGTGGTGGGGATATTTTGTCCCAGATATTTACTTGCAACTATATCGACTATCCCCTGAGTACTAACCTTTAAAGACCTGGTTCATGCTTGGCTTGAATTGTGTCGTCATCTGGGCTGATAGTACTATGCTTGGCAAGATCTGCAACATCTGGGTCCCGATAATTATTATCATTCTACTCGAATGAACAATACCCTAAACCGCACTCGACAGTTTGTTTGTTATTACTTTTGCAGAATTTGTTTTTCCAATTCTTGACGAGCACCATTGAGGGGCCATTGATCTTTCGAGAGCCAACAGGTGAATTCATGTAAGATCTCCTGACAGCAACTCTTAACCACGACCAACTAACTTATATTTAGTGCAAACATTCATCAGGGATAATATGTTTTGTTAGCTTTTAAACACCAAAAGCACAGCTGCTACGCTCCAGCTACTTTGCTGCTGACCGCTTGAACCTCAACACCCGGCTTACCCGGACACAATCAGTGGGGCGCAATCAAGCTCCATTAATCTCACAGCTTAGACTATCTCCGAGGGCAGTGCAAGCTTCACGCACCAACTTTCTCCAACAAGGATCGATCGATCGCCGTAAAGCATGCCCGATATGGCCCCGCTAAGCTGCTGTCAGACTAGGCCACCCGCTAAGCCACTCGACTGCGACCGCAACGCGGCATAAGGTGAACTTTTTAGCAGGATGTGATGAAGAGAATGATCCAATTCCCACTCAGTCAAGTTGGGGGCGAAACCTAGTTCCCCCTTAATCAACAAAACAGAGGAAATAAAACCAGGTAGAAAACCGACCCGGTTGACAATTCCTCACACAGAATCTCTACCAGTTCACTGAACCTTTATCACCATGAACCGGTACCTGTCTATCCCCCTGTGCTTGGCGAGCGCTGTTCCTGCGCTAGCAGGTCTGGCGGCCCGCGACCCCATTGGCACCATCTGCACCAAGAACAACATCATCACCACCGACGACTTCATCCTCTACAACAATCTCTGGGGTGAGGACTACGCTACCTCCGGCTCGGAGTGTACCTACCTCGACTATGACAGCGGCAACTCCATCTCATGGCAGACGTCGTGGACCTGGGCCGGCGGCGACGACTACGTCAAGAGCTATCCCAATGCCGTCTTGAACGTCGGTGCCAAGCAACTGAGCACGATCACTACGATTCCCTCGACCTGGAAGTGGAGGTGAGCCAATCTTCCCTATCACCAATTAAGCTACTGTCTAATGATGATATCAGCTACACGGGCGACGACCTCGTCGCCGACGTCTCCTACGATGCCTTCCTCGCCACCACGGACTCCACAACGGCCACACACGAGTACGAAATCATGATCTGGCTCGCCGCCTACGGAGGCATCGAGCCCATTGGCAACTCGGATGGTCCTATCGCCAGTCCCACCATCGGTGGCTACACCTGGGATCTCTACGAGGGACCCAACGACTGGACCGTGTATAGTTTCGTGGCCCGCGAGACTATCACGGACTTCTCTGCGGATCTTATGGAGTTCTTCACTTATCTCGTTGATAATGAGGGTGTCTCGTCGAGCTTGTATCTGCAGACTTTGGGTGCGGGTACGGAGCCGAAGACGGGCTCTGATGCTTGGTTCACCGTTGCGCCGTACACCATTAGCATCAACACTTAGTGGTTGAGATATTTTGACAGTTACGGGCGGGTTGTTTGACCGGGGAGATATGGTGGATCCTTTGGAGATGCATATTGAACAAATCGAAGATACGTTCATAAACAAATTGAAATTAATATCGTCGACGATGAATTTGAAAATACCTAATGGAACAGTAGCAAGTTATACTGCTTGTAATGGTAGAAGTCAAGATGGAGTCTGTCGCTGTGGATTCCCTGTGGCCTCATGGGACTGCTATCCTATTGCAGTGGCAATGTAAATATGCCACGTAAGAGATCAAAAGAAAATTAAATGAAAATTTGGAAGGGACATGCATCATATCATAAGCGGGTGATTGAGAAAAAAAAATCAAAAAGAAATGTTGAGCTCCGATAGGGGGAATCGAACCCCCGGCTGCCGTGTGAGAGACGGCGATGTTAGCCACTACACCATATCGGATTAATTATTATTCTCGGCTATAGTTTACAATCATAAAGCAAATACATACTGTCTATCACGTGCCTTCCGATCGCACTGTTCTAAACAACTTCTTCACCTTCTGTCCATAGTGGTGTATATCACTTGCCCACCCCATTGTCATCAGATTCAAACTGAGTTTCATATGTGCTTGCTTAAGATGTTTTTATAATATATGTTACACCGAGAGAATAACCACGATACCGGTTCTAGCCCACGACTGTCCAGTAGCAGTCCTGTTTCTTGTTAGGCTCTGAACATATATACATCGGCAGTTACGGATTCAATTGCCTTGCGCAAACTTCATCGAACAAAAATGTCGCGACACCCATTTTGCAAGCGATTTAAGGGAGTTACTCAACATCGCACAAAATAGACCGTTTCTGCACTGGAGCAGCAACATATGATCGGAAACTTGAAGATTTCCTGAAGGTACCTTATTCGAATCATGGCTGGTATTTACTCACACCTGCCCAGCCCGTCGCATGAC